ACCAGCCAAAAACCATCTCTTAGAATCTTCACCTGGGGGTACCAGACACCGAGGTGCCTCCTTTCCGAAGGCCATGAACTTGGTCCAGGCTGGAGGAGTCCGGAACAAGTAGAAGAAGCATCTGAGGTCCTCGGACGAGGTAACAATAACATCATGGTCATGAAGATGTAGGGACCCCAGTTGGGTAACCGAAGGTAAAGTACCAACATCACCTGTTAAACAGCGGCTCACCATGTTCCAAGGCTTCAAGTTCATGATCAATCGAGCCAAGGGAATGTCATCCTTCATCTCATCTTTACTGACTGAAAAAAGGCCATTTAGAAGCGGCTGGTTGTTAACCTTGTAGATGGATTCCTCAGAAACTACTTCACAAAGTCCCCGATGTACCAAACCACATGCAACTTCTTCCCAACCGTCCCCTTGAATCATGACAGAAGGTGTTTTCAATCTCACTTGATCTTCAACTGGTAAGAGGGTCTCGTCAATGTTGTTGACAAAGTGGGCCACCCCCCGCTGCAGAAGTCCCGTATGTCCAAACAGCCAACTTCGGGGGGTAAAGAAGATTCAACACTCTTCCAGTTTATGGGTATGCCTAGCCTCACTTCTTCCCCAGAATAGTCCAGCCCTCTCGAGCTAAAGAAAGACTTGAAGTTGAGATCAGGGAGTGGTTCTTCCAGAATTGATGACCCTGTCACCACCTCATCCAGCCTTTTGCACACAGAACGTGCGGCTGGAGAAAGTCTCTCGCTAGCCCCAGTCTCGCCGAAGCTATGCATACTGTTAAGGCTAGCTAGAACTGCTGGGAGAAACGCGGAATGAGATTCTGGGTGATGGCTAAAATGCGCAACAGGAAGTGCAAACAAGTCTCCTTTTCCTGTAATGGACCTTGGTCTGCAACTAGGTTTTTCTAACATTGAAAGCACATCCACCACCAAAGAACCAAAGCTTCCGACTTTGATGACTCCGTCAGCGCTGCTTAGGCACTCATCTACCCGGCGCTGCACATGCAAGTGAAACTCTTGGGAGCCAGCCTGTGCACTCTGCTGGCTCCCTTCAAAGTGATGCAACTTGAATTCCGTCTCCTCATGGGAGTCCCCGTGCCGCCAAGCTTGGGAACTCCCTTCTGCACCTGAGGCCTTCTCACGAGCTTCGACGATCAAAGTGTCTATGTCCTCAGCGGTGAAACCTGTGCCAGCCAATCCCTCCATAGTGCCACCTCTTTCTTGTCTTCTCCTCTTCGCAGCCTTTCTAGAATCGTCATACTTGTCTTCTCTGGAAAGTTTTTGGGACCCTTCTGAATCAGTCAATGATGCCAACCTCCTCAACTCCTCTCTTTCTTTTGCCATGATGTCTTCCTTCTTCTTTTCCAGCCCCGGCTCCTCTATTCTTCCCTCCATCACTTGACTGATTCTTTCCTGATCCCTTTCCTTTTCTCGCCTTTCCACCCATGTTCTGGGAGGTGTCTCCTCCCTTCCCTGACGCCGGCCTCGTCATCAGCGACCTGAGCCTATCTTCTTCACGTGCTTGGCAAGCAGCGGATAGTCGCTCCTGAGCTTCCGTCATTCCGCCATCTTCGCACTTCACCAACTCATTTATTGTCGGCACATAGTCCAGTGGGCGCCACGACCTAAAGCCTCAAGGCTTTTCAGCCGTTGCGTGAGCACATCCATGCTGCTGCCCACTTTTCCTTGGGCTAACAGGTCGAGTGCCTGGCTGATGGTAATCACCTCCTGCTGAAGTGAGGCACTCATTCCAGGCATCACCACCTGCCTGCTGTATTGTGTGAAAAGTGGGGGAAGACTTTGTTTGTCCATTCCCCAGGCTGTGCCAGCCGCTGTGACTAGGCTGCGCTTTATCTCCTGGAGAGATCTCGAGGAGAGTGCGCCTAGGCACCTTTTCCACACGGCCCGCAGCCGCTTGTCGTCCTCGAAAAGGCCTGCATGTCTCACCAACTTCCAACGAGCTTGAAGACGAACTAGAGGATGTAGTGCCCAAGCTCCCACTGCTGCTGCCTTTGTCTTTCTTCTTTTTGCTCCTTCGGTCCTTCTTTGCTATCTTGCGGGCTCTTTTGAGGATTTTTGACCTGACCCTCACATTGGGGTCCATGCCGGTGCCACCAAAGACTTCCGCCAAAGTTCTTTGGCCCACCTCTCTGCTCTCTTCCCCACCTTTGGGAGACTTGCTTGGTCTCCCTTCTTCTGCCTCCTCTCTCTTCTTCCTCTTCGCTTCTTTTTTGTCGACCGTTTTGGCCTTCCTTCCGGCTTCTTCCATCCTCGCCTGCTCACGCCGCAGCTCCTGCAGATCATCTCCTCCATCTTCTCTTCTCGTTGCTTCTTTAAGATTGCTCATCCAACTCTCCTCCATCAGGCTCACTTCTTCGAACTTGCCGGAGTGCACCAAGAGCTCGTCTGCGAGTTGCTGGTTGCAATCCACCGTGCATAGGTGTACAGCCACCAGCTTGTCGTCCTTTCTGCCGCTCAAGATCCTCAAAAGATCTTCATCACCTGTTCCCTTCACTTCCAAGTCCAGGAACCATTGGCCATCTTCACTTCTGACGCTTTTCACTTGTCCTGCCAGCTTCACCTTCCTCCCATAATACACTGCCTCTGGGAGGTAGATTGACCTGAGTCCCGCCAGCGCCTTGGGGTTCAAGTCTGAAAAAGATTGCAACTTCGGCAGGACTTGCTCCTCCTTCTCCTTCTCCGCTTCTTGTCGGGCAGGTCGTCGAAGGGCTCCTCTCGATGATGCAGGCCTCCGCAAGGCCCCTCTTTTCGGCGCCATCCTTCAGTCAGCGGCGCCTGTCGCGCCTTCTACTGAAAAGCTCTTGCTTTCCTCTTTTCACCTGTCCTTTATTTGTGGACGAGGTCCACCTGGCGCGTGATCGCTCACCGGCAACACCCCCCTCCACCCCGAGCCCTGTCTTGGGGGTGGAGGGTGATCAGGTTCCCGGGGGTACCACTGACGGTCCTCCCGACGATCAGGGGCGGGCCAGGTGGTTCAGGCGGTTTCTCTGACCTCCTCTTTTTCTCTTTTCCTCCCTCTGGCCTTTCTTCCTCAGAATCCAATTCTTTTCTCCTCTTTCGATCTCTGTCACGGCTCCTCCTCTCTCTTCGATGGCTCCTGCTTCCCCTCCGGCGACTCCTGCTTCTTTCTCGCCTGAGAAACCTGTCTTCTCCCCTTCTCCTCTCTTTGGATTCTCCTCGACGATTCCTTCCGCTGCTGGCTGCCCTTGGCTTCTCCTCTTCAGTTCTGGATTCCCTTGTTTCCTTCTCAGGCTCTTTTTCCTCCTTGGGTGGCTGGAACTCCTCGGCCTTGATGAGCTGCTTGGGGGGTGCTGGCGGTGCCCCCTTGGGAGTGAGGTTCAATCTCCCTTCTTTCTTGTTCTCCTCCTTGTCCTCCTTCGGCTCAACCTCCTCTTTCGAAGGTTGGGAGGGTGGCGGCCCCTCCCCTGTAGATGGTGTCCCGGTCGCCCCGCTGGTCACAACCGGGGGACGGCCAAGCCTCTGGAGCTCGTCCCTCAAGTCGGCCTCAAAGGTCCGCGCTTCGGCTAACGCGAAACCAATGAAACCTGGATGTGTCTGGCCAATCGAAACCAGGTAGAACACCCGGTTGAAACAACGGCACAGGGAACAGCCACAGGTTGTGGCGTGTCCCCACATGCCAATCCTTGAAAGCCAGAGCTGCGCGTAATCACTGGTGTTTTCGCGTTTACATCCGTAAGCGTTTGTGCATGTATATCTGTATATATATATATATATATTTGCAGGGATATGAACATATATTCAGTTGTCTAGATAGGTAGATGAACAGTTAGATAGACAAACAAACAAAGAAACCTCACTTCCTTGCTGCCCTCGGGGGCAAAAATATTTTGATAGTTACCCTGCCCTCCAGT